GCACAACTGGTCGGGCCGAGATGGCGCTTGCCGGTGGGAACTTCCCAGCGCGTCTGGGAGGCCGCGCTGGCGCGCGAGCTTTCCAGTGCGGGTCGGTAAATCGGACGGGCGCAGTATCATGATGACGCCGACAACGGCGACAACGATGATGATAGTGAGATAGTAAAGGTGGTGGCGGCGATGGTGACGATGACGACGGCACGGCCAATGGCGGTGGCGATGCTGGTGACGACGAGTACGATGATGATGTCCATGCGTCGGTGATGGAGGTTGTCGGCGAATGATGGCGGAACCGGCAACGATTCGCGATGACGGGAACGGCGATTATGCAATGGCCTTGTAGCGGGTGATGGTGTAGAAGTGCGCGCGCGCAGAAATCCAAGAACTCGCGACGATTTTCTCCGTTGGACAGAATCGGGGCTTCCGTTTATTTCTGAAGCAGGGCTGGACCCAAACGGTGCTTTGGCGATTTCGTGGGCCGTTTTCGTTTCGATGTCGTGTTGCTGTAAAGGCGGACTGAGGACGAAACGAAGGAAAACGAAAACAAAACGAAACGACAAAAAAAACTGTTTGGGTTCAGCCCTGACCTCAAGAGCGAGCGGTTGTGGACGGAATTACGACGCGCGCGCGTGGCGGCGCGCGCGTGCGGTCCGCAAATGCTATGATGTGGTACACGGACTCGTGAGCGGGGCGCCGGATCACAGCATGTGCAACGCGTGGTGAGATGAGACTGTGGGTTCGGGGCGAGAACCAAACCCTAAAACCTAAACCCTAACCCTAAGAGCAAAACCCTAAATTCTTAATCCTATAATTACTGAACCGTGAACCCCGACAAAAACGGGTGCATACGCTAACATACGATCGCATACGACCCGGGATGTAAACCGGCTCCATCCCTTGCAAAAATATGTTTTCTTGATCATGCTTGCATAATCCATTGCGATGTACACTACAAATGCGCGTCCGCGGACGCAAACCCTCGCCATCCCTTGCAAGAAATACGCATTCCTGATTATGCGTGCTGCAAACTCTCGCTATCCCTTGCAAAAAATACGATTTCCTGATCATGCCTGCTGTAAGCCCTCGCCATCCTTCGAAAAACTATTATTTCATGACGTTCATACACCTATGAGACTTTCCTTAACAAGGAAGTACTCTTTAGGTCCCCGAAAGTTCTTTATGGTAGGGTGGTTTGCGGGTGGGACTGGCAGCCACCGCAGGTGGGTTCCTAGGCAGGAGGCGATCAGCTGCGGCAGAAGTTGTAGACCCTGAATTCTTAATTCTATAATTACTAAACCCTAAACCCCGTAAAACCGGGCAAATACGGTAACATACGGTCACATACGACCCGGCATGTAAACCGGCTCCACCCCTTGCAAAAAATACGATTTCCTGATCATGCGTGCATAATCTATTGCGGCTTACACTGTACATGCGCGTCCGCGAACGTAAACCTTCGCCATCCTCTGCGCAAAATATTATTTCCGGATCATGCGTGCATGATCCATTGCGATGTACAGTGCAAATGCGCGTCCGCGGACGCAAACCTTCGCCATCCATCGCAAAACAACAGCATTTCCTGATCATGCGTGCGTGCATGATCCATTGCGGCTCACAATACAAATGCGCGTCCGCGGACGTAAATCTTCGCTAGCCCTTGCAAAATTAATATGTTCTGATCATGCGTTACTACACCTATGGGACTTTCCTTACCAAGTGCGCCGCTGTCGCAGAACCCTGAGTTTTACAATCTGAATTCCATGATGTTTCAGGCGCTCACAATGTTCCCAGGCGCTCCCAAGCGCTCCCAGGCGCTTCCAGGCGTTCCAGGCGCTCCCAAGCGCCCCCAGCGCTCCCAGGCGCTCCCAGGCGCTCCCAAGCGCTCCCATTCGTTGTGCTTGCAACGAGGGGAGAAATGATCTTTATGGTAGGGTAGTTTGCGGGTGGGACTGGCAGCCACCGCAGGTGGGCTCCCAGGCAGGAGGTGATCAGCTGCGGCAGAGCTTGTAGACCCTAAACCTGAAACCTTAAACCCTAGGCGAGAGCGGATTTCAGCAAATGCGAGCAGAGCAGATGCGCGTGGGCAGACAATGTTCAATATTTGTCCTATGGCTTCGTGTGGAAAGGACAGATGAGACAGAGTCATGCTCCAAATTGCACTGCGACAGAACATGTGTGGCCCTTAGCCCTGGGGTGGGGGATCGGGGGGTCGTGGGGTCAAATGTCTGAAAGGGGACTATACGTGGTGTGTGCAATGTGGTAAGGTGTGTGGCGAACCAGAGCCAAGCAATGTTGCGGAGCACATGTTGTGTACGGATGTTGTTGCACACTGACCGTACACCCCACCTCAAACGCCAGATGGCGCACGGTTTGTATGCCTCCGCGGGAGCCCACCAAGAGAGCCTGTTGCCGAGACCAGTGCTAGCAGCGGCGATCTGCCATCGCTCCTTCGAGTGCCAGGCAACGCGCAGCGATCATGTTGCTATCCTGATCATACTAC